TAATAAATCATATATACAACTAGAAACAAATGTAGAGAGGATCTATCACCACTATTTTTTATTTAATTAATCACTGAAACTGTATTACGTTTCGTCATTAGATCTGCTCTCTCAATTTTTTGATTTTTCACATTCGGTCTATTTAGTCGAACTTATCCAAAATGACAAAAATCGGCTATTACGTACTTCTCTGTTGTTGTTCACCCTTTTTGGTTATTTTATTATTGGCTTCTCTTTTTACTTATTTATTTTGGGGAATCTTACTTAGCCCAATTTGGTTAATCATACTCTTGGTGATACTTGCGTATTTTGGATATTATAAATGGGCAAGGTAACTGTATAATCGTCATTTTTTTTTCAAATTGATAAAAAGCCCGATACTCACAAATTTTTTACAGAGAAAACTATTTCAATAGAAAAATGAATTTTCCAGCGAAGTTTTCTGAAGAAACAAAAAATCAAGTCGCTTTATGGCATGATATCATTCAAAATAAACATAAGGATGATGACGATGATGACGATGAAATTTTTTGTAACGACCCATTATTAATCATCGAGTATAATCAACCGGGTCTCGCAAGCCGAAATATCACTGAAAATAATGTTAGCGCAGGTATAACCATAAATATTTATATAATTCATTAAAAAAGTTTTCTAACTATTTTTTGGATTAGTAATCAGAGGAACTCCAAACTATACTCCTATCGCATTTCCAAGGGCAAACCTGGCACAATCAAATTCAGTATTCGCATTTAACGATATGCAGATAATGGAAGATGCTATTGCACGATTATATGAAAACTATAATAACAATGTGACAGGACGACAAGATATTATTGTTGGACGGGTATATTGTGTGTTATTTCGCAGGGCCAATACATTTGATGTTATTGAACGACGACATGTTTTTGATTGATATAGTCATCGTTTACTTTTCTATCTTAGCTTTTTTTGTTATAAATTAAAGTAGAGAGAATTTTTTTTTTGCATTAATTTTGATGCTAATAATATTTTTGGGCTTACTACTTTAAATTATGAAATGTAATTTAATAGGGCAAATTATAGTTTATTAATTGAAATTTATTAATTTAAATATGATTATTTATTAATTAATTATAACAATAATAGTAATAGTAATAAGTAGTTAGTTGATAAAGTTAAAGTGGTGAATCATCGATTGGTAGATAAATAATTTATTTTGTTTGTTTTTATTATTATTTTGAAAATAAATTTGATTAATTTCACATTTTTATAATTGAATAATTAATATAATACATAATTCTCCTAATGTCAGAAATCAAAATAAATAATCAAATGAATGCGAAATAACATCATTAAACACTAATACTATTACTAATATTATTACCAATACTATAATATCGAGTTTATATTTTTTTTGTTTAGGAATGATTGACACAAAATTAACTAAAAAGACATTACATTTCTTTTGCTAGATGTTTTTCACCTTCGCACCAATGTAGAAAAATTCAATGCCGGATATTTTAAATAATTTCTAATGCTCTACTAGCTGCATTGCACAACGAATTTATACATTCAGGTACCGTACATCTAAAAATAAGTGCTTCTTTTATTAATGCTGCGATTTAATAAATTTGTCAGAGTAAGTGGTGGGTCGTCTTGATATAATAGTGGATCTTTGTAGCTATGATAATGTTGTAGAATGGTGAAGGGATTATCGATCTCTTCAAGGTAAGCTTCAGTAATTTGTTTATTAGGTTATTTTTGTAGCAAATATTTCAATATAATTTCTTGTCTATGTGGGTTTTCTGCTTCATAGGTTATTATTTGAGATTTCAGCTTTTCTTTTGAAGGTTGATGATTGATTTTCAGCAAAATGAAGTTCTTTTGTATGAAGTGAAACAAATGTAAATATAATTGGTGCTGTATTTTATTGTAAATTTACCTCAAAGAATTTTATCAACAAGTTGGTTCATTTTTTTTTATGACTTTCTTTACAATAAAAGAAAGCTTCAAAATTATTTTTTCAGATTCTTTGAATTTTTCTTTGGTTTTCCGAATGTTGATAAATAACAGCCTCCAATTCATCTTATTGAGCATCCAACATCCCTGATCAAGATATTTAATCCAGAATTTTTGCAGGTCCTGGTGAAATCGTCTCCATCGTAGAAGTTATCCATACCCATAACATTAATTATTCTAAAACTTTTGTAAATAAACATTGGTATAGAGTTAATTGATTAAAAGTGATCAGCAAAATCATGTTTTTCAATTGAGTATACGTATCAAATATACAAAAAAAAATTATATATTTTTAACATAATTTCGGCAATTTCGACCGGAAACCTTAATCCAAACGAGAGCATTGATTCTATCAAAAACTATGCAAAGTGTACCTTTCCTACAAGTTCATCTTTATAAGAACATAATTACTTGGTTCCTTTGTAATTGATTCATCTTGAATAACAAATAGATGGACCTTTTGTGGACTAAGATAATAGATCTTATTTACCTCGTCAGGAAAAATTTCCCGACGCAATATTACACTCATAAGTTATTATATAATGATAATGGATGATTTTTTTTTTCGTTTTAATTCTTCACAAATAAATATCTGAGCAAACATCATGCAGTCAAAGCTCGTTTCAACAAATTATAATTAAATTCGTAATAACGAACTCTAAATGCAACTTTCTCGTCCATGAATGAGGTTTGACTGTATGCATATATTGTGTTAAAACGTGAAATCTCCATTTTCGGAATTTTTTTAATCTGCCGTTAAATTTATTGGTGCGATTTAAACATTCAAAGTTAAATATGGTTTATATTTTAAAATTTTTTTTTTGTAAAAAATCTATTAGACATGTTATCATTTTTGTTCCAAATAAATTTGTTGATTAAGCAATCATTACCACCTTGACTACCCTAAATCATAAGATACATTATTGTTATTATGATTTGATCAGAATTCTTTTCTATAACAAGGCGGAAATGATTCCTATCTTGTGGGAAAGACATGTTGATTAAGAGGTATTGATATACTTTACTTTTTTCACTTATTCAAATTGAGAAGAAGCATGACAAAAGTCATAAATAAAATGAATGGGAAAATTATTTTTGTATATTTTTCTATGCAATTTATTTTTATGAATTTTATGAATTATGAATTTTATGAATTTTGTTGAATTTATGGTTAACGGAGAATATGGAGAAGCCACAAGGTGAACATTATTGTACAAATTAATCATGTGGCTTTGTCATATGGTTATGGGAACAAAAAAAAACAAAAGAATTGCCATATTATTAGGAAAAGATTGTAGCAGCAGTAGCAAGCAGTGGTATCATTATTATTAAGTCATTAATTAAAAAAAATATTAATATATGGTTAACTGGTTAAATTAACCGGTTAATTTTAACCAGTTAATCAAAAAGAATTAACCAGTTAAAAAAATATCTTAACCGGTTAACCATTTAATTGCAGTTAACCGGTTAACCGCGGTTAAACGGTTAACGGTGCCAACCCCTACTTTAGTTTGATAAGAATTTCATACCCATTCCATTTAGCTTCAGTAAAATTTTTGATTGAATCATAATTATATGTTATAGGATCAATATTATGCCCTTCTTTTGCTAATTTATCAGCTTGTTTGTTAAGAAGATCACCTTTATTATTTTTGGAACTAGTGACTTTTTCAAATGAGATATTGAGATTTTTTTCTTTTATTAGATTTTTGCACATTAGCATTGTTTGCCAATTTTTGATGTTATTTTGTGTGACTAATTGTGAATTTTTTAATGATGCTTGCATTATCTATTCATATAATTGCATGTGTGTTATCTGGAACTGTGATTATGAAGTTGAAGATGCTTTCTAATTCTGCTCTTAGTGCTGTGTGTCTGTTTTTTATGGATGCTTTGTATGATATTTTGTTATGTAAGTTTGAGATTAACCAACCAAAACTGGAACTAGCTGTATCTGTATTGTGATTGATGTAGGAACCATCACTGTAGCAAATAAGTTTGTTGCTTGGTGTATATTTTGGTATTTCATTGTGGATGTTAATTAGTGTTGTAGCTAGTTGTGTTTGTGACTATGTTTTTTATTCTTTTGATATTAATATTATTATTAGTTATTTGTGTATTTGGATCATTATTTTGATTTTGATCTTGACTGTTGTTACTGTAGCAATAGAAAGATAATTCTTCATAAGGATGATATGCCAAATAAATGTATTCTTTGCTTTTTTGATTTTTAGGTTGCTGATACATTTAGCATTTTCTTTTGGAATATTAATGTTTGTTTTGGTGGGTGTGGAGATGAAACGATCTGTTTGTTTTGATAGTGTTGTATGTACATTAATTAAGATTGAGTCTTTATTTGGTTTTGTTGGTTTAATTAATTTTCCATTATGAATTTTATTGTCTTTTTTGAAAAAGGCCCAATTGTTCTTCCTGTAATCAATTTTTATGTTTGAATAACTTATAGTTTTGCAATAAATAAGATTTTCCTGTTGTTTTTAACAATTTCTTTTATTTCTTGATTATTTGTATAATAATTATTTATGTCATTATACCATGATGGTGTTTTGCCTCTAGGAGTTTTTTGTGTTTAAATATATGTTTCTTCATGGGAGTAATTTAGTTGCTTTTGCATTGGTCAACTGTCATAGACAAATTATATTGTTTTCCTCAAGCTGTTCCTACATTTTTTGAATGATTTTGTCTCCATGGTATTATGGATCTCCATTCTATTTGAGAGTGTGGTGATGATTAATTCTTTTATTTTAAAATCAATATTTAGTTTTGATGATAGAAATAGAGTGTTGGTAATTGAATTATTTTGTTTCTTTTTTGAATTTTAAAAGATTATCTTTCCATGTGTTAATGCACCATGCTTTGTTTTTCATCAGGAAATTTTCTCTGCCACAATATTACGTCCATAAATTTTAATATGTAAAGTTGTAATATTTGCATAAAAATTATGTAATATTTACACTTGATGTAATAATTGCATAATTTTTGTATGCTTATTTGCATAATATTACAGGCCCGTCATAAACTTATTTAAATAGTGTAATAATTATGTAAATCTGCATCAGAAAAATTTCCAGATGTTCCAGTCAATTATTCTAATTATTGAAGAGGATTTTAGAATTGTATTGTGAGATGTGAGGTTGTTTAGTATTAAATTGCTTTTGGTTATACATAATAGGTTTTTTGGTGATGTGAAGTTGAATGTGAATGTATTGTATAATGTTTCATTAGGTGTATTTTTTGATAAGTTAATTTTATTTTTAATATACTGATGTAAGAAGATTCCAGCTTCTTCATTTCTCTTTTATTAAATGTTATAATCTGCACTAAGTATTCTAGAATAGGATTGAGACATTTATTAAATAGGCATGACAACTGGTCTGGTTTTACTTTTTTGAACATTAATAAATTGTTAAAGTGTGAGATTTTATCAAAAATTTTTTGTTTGGTTGGTTTTGTTGTAATATATATGCCAAGGTATCAGATGGTGTTGCTTTTTGGCATTTGTTGGATAACTGTGCTATCATCTAGTATTGATGTATCCTTATTATTGATGATTAGCAGGCCTGATTTGTTCCAATTAACTTTTATATTATTAATTTTATACAAGTGGTTTACAGCAGATGCGATTCTTTCTATTCCTTCCTTTGATTTACTAATAAAGATTGTGTCATCCATGAAAGCTAAAGGTGGATTTTTGTGGAGATACTATGGTGATTATTTGGCATATTTATTTGTTCAAGTGAAGTTGTTTTAATTGTTAATAGGTCTGTTTCATAATTGTTGGTAATATGTGCTAAAATAGGGTCATAAAATATTTTCCATATAATTGGTGAGAGTGGATCACCTTGTTCAATACCTGATTGAATGGTTATTGGCTCTGTTAGTCCTGATGGTGTTATAATTCTAGTTTGTCAGTCAGTCAGTAGGTATATATACCAGTCTATAAAATTTTGAGGTAAGTTGATACATTTTAATGCTATTTTAAGTCTTTGATGGTCTACATTATCAAAAGCTTTTGACATGTCTTGAAAAAAATGTATGAAGGTAATTTTATGTTGATTGACATGTTCTATGGTATTGTTAAGAATTTGTATTGGTGTTATTGTTGATGTATATTTTTCAGCTGCAAAGTTGTGACCTTTCAATAAATTAAAATTTCTTATTTTTTCTTCTAATCTATTTGTGATCAGCTTGGTTAGTATTTTTTTACATGGTTCCATTATAACTATAGGTCTAGTTTTGTTTAGGTCATATTCCCAGTCTTCCTTTTTTGGTATTGGGTATAGATAAGACATCTTCCATTTATCTGGAATTTTTTTGGTTGTTGGGCCTTTAGAAAAGAGTTCAGGATCAATTTGTGTATTTCTCTATCTGCATGTATGAAATGTTCATGTTTAAATTGGATGGACCTGCTGCTTTGTTCTTTGGTAGCTGTTTTATGACCCTTTCAATATCTTCAAGTGATGGTGGATTTAAAATGTTCATTAAGATAGATGGGTCATTGAATGGTTCATATGTTTCTTCAAACTGGTTTGTTTTTTTATTGTAATGAGTGAATATTGTAGTAATTTATGGTCTGATTTAATAGATGTTTCTGTTGGTGGTAATATATTTTGTATCATTCCCATGAGTTCCTTACTGATCCATATCATATCAATACAACTGCTTGAATTTGATCTTTTCCATGTATGTGGGGTATCTTGAATATACGTGAAGTCAAAACTATTTTGACCATTTGCAGATCTGGTCAAAATAGGGTCGAAATAAGGTCGAAACCGATTTTTACTATGTAGTTGCTTCAAGTTGAAACATTCGGCTTTGGGGTTTTAATTTCGACCTCATGTATAATCTTGAAGTGATTGTAGCTTATATATATCTATGAAATTATTGTTACTGAAGTATTTTAGAAGATTAAATTCTTTTTTCCATTTGGAATTCTATCTATTGATGGGTTATATACTGCATTATAGTCTCCCATTATAATTGTGAGAGTTTTATTATCATTATTATGTGTGATCCATTCAATTATGGTATCTATAGTTTTTTTCCTTTCCTCCTTTTTTTTCTTTTGTGGGTATGTAGATTTGTATTATATTTAACTTTAATCTTTTAAGCAAAAGAGTAACACATATTAAGTGGGGTGAATGTTTTGAGACTTTAACAATATGTTTAGCTGTTTCTGTTTTGATAATAAAACCAACCCCTCCTTTATTGGCATTACCATATGGATTTTGGCTGTTGCTCCAATAACTTTGATAATTCCTTTGTTGTGTATAAGCTTTATATTTCACTATATCTTGCTTCTTGATTTGAAAGATGCATTTCAGATATTCCAAAAATGTCAATGTTTAATTTTATTAGTTCATTATATAAATTGGTTTGTTTGTGTATATCTTTAAGTCCATTTAAGTTTTGTGTTGCTATTTTAATTTTAGATATTTTTTCAATGTCTTTTATGTTGTGTTCTGTTAATGTTTTAAAAATGTATTTGATATATCATTTGTGTGTGATAATAGTGGTTGATTGTTGTTTAATTTGTTGTTTTTGTTTTTGTTTGATAGTGATTGTAGATTTTGTTGATTGTATATTAGAAAATAATTGAATCTCAGCCTGGATCTGGGATTGGTGGAAGATTAATAAATGTGTCTGGGAGGTATTTGAAGATGTAAAGTTTTTTTAAGATTGGGTTGTTTGATAAATTTTTTTGTCATCAGTAATAGGTATTGTAATTTCTACGTTATAATTGTTAAGTTCTTTTGTTATTGTTAAATCAAGTAACTGTTTTTTTTCTATGTTTGGTATTATAATTTTGGTATCATTTTCTAAAACAGATGTATCAATATTGTCATTTGCCTTTTCTATTGATATCCACTCATCAGGTATCCTTTCAAAGAAATATTTTTTACTTAGCTTTATTACCATATTTTTTATATTAGTTTTGTTTGTAATCGGCAGAATTTTTTCTTCATTTAACATGAATTGAACATCCAGTTCCTTGATGTTTTTAGGAAGAAGAGGTTTATTTTTGGAACATTTATCCATTTTTTATTAATAGAGAATGTGATTTCATATTTTCTTCTTGCTTCTTTGATGAATTCATTGACAGTATTTTGTTCAGTGATTGGAAAGTTATAATTAAAAGTTGTTTTATCTGGTGAGTTGGGTAGCCTTGGTTTAGGAGTAAAATAATTGTTTGGTAATTTTTGGAATAAGTAGTATTCTCTTAATTCATTTACTATCTCTCAAAGAGTTTTTTCTGTTCTATTTAAATTGAATTGGAAATATTGTGCCAAGTGATTTGGTAGACCTTTTAGAGAAAATGGTAGAGGTTCTCTTGGTTTTGTAAGGTTAAAATATGTATCTAGTAATTTTCCTGAGAAAAAATATTATACCCTTGATTTTTCTCTTATTTTCCTTAACTCCTTTAACATTGAATATTTTTTGATTGGGAAGATCTTTTTCCATTCCACTGTTAATTCTCCAGGATTTTCTGGTAATACAGGTAATACTTTTGTGTATGAATCAGGAAGTTTGTTAGTTTTGATGTTGAATAGTTGCTTAAAGCTCTTTTTGTTTGGTTTGCTAAATGGTGGTATATTAGTGGTAGTGTAAACGTTCAAATAATTATCACAATTATTTACAAACGTTTAGATATTATTTAATACTGTTAATGAACTGATAATTTTATTGTTGTAAAATTATACTGTATATAAAAATTATCTTTATTTGTTTGAATTTTACATCTTTAAATAATAAAAATACAGTTCTTAAAATACAAATATAAATCATAAGAAAATAAATAAATATATAATCTATATATTGTATGGAAGCTTATAAACTTCCCAGAAAGTATTGATCATAATTTAAAGATAACTTTTTAATTATAAATAATATAAATAAAAATAATAATATGATTATATTCCCCACAATATAACATAACAATATAATATCCTCTTTTCTTAATAAAAATAATAATGATAATAATAATAATATGTATAATTCTTCACCAAAAATCCCGATTGCCAAGTAACTTAAATTAAACGATAAAAAAAATATGAATTCATCTTACCAAATATGGTAATAAAATTAAATTCCATTTGTGCGACATAATATTTCGAAGTTTGTTACAGGTAGTTTGTATGGAATTTTGACTTTGATTGATTTGTCTATTAAGTTTGGATGTGATGGTAGATCTGGAAATTCTTCTTTCAGGATATCTCTTAGGGCAAGATTTATTTTGTTGTATTTGAAATTTTGTTTTTTACCTATGAAACCAGCAATATATTGTAGCTTTCTGATGGTATCTGAATGGTTGATGTTTTTCCATCCAATTTGATTGAAATAAGCCCAACCTAATTTGATTTTGATCATTTTGAAAACATTATCTTTTTCTTTCTTTCTTAGTTAGTTTGGTTTGTTCATGGGTATTTTATAAGCATTTGTTGAGTTGAAAAGGATTTTTTCAAATTCTTTTTGGTGTTCAGTTTTAATTCCATTTTTGTAATTTGTGAATGATTTGAACAAATATGTATCATTACATTCTAACATGTATAGTGTAGCAGGGGGGATCTAACCTTTTATTACTGTTGATTCTACTTTTATATTTTTCCTACCTATTCTTATTAGTTCAATAAAACCTTCTCGATTTTTATTAGTTTGTTGAAAAGATCCAGTTGAATTATTATTAGATTGTGATCTGTTTCTTCCTGATTTGTGTCTATGCTAGAGGTATCATATTCAATTGTTTCATTATCTGACATTAAATCATCAGTAATTTCTGATGATGTTATATTATCTATGTTAGTGTCTTCAGGATTTTTGTTTGTATCTGTTTGATTATCTTGGTAGATCTTGGATGTTGATTGATCATTAGGGTTTTTAGAATTGTTGGATAATTGATTTTTTGGGTTAGGGTTGGGCATATCCCAGAATAGGTCTTCTCCTGTAATCCCTTCATGGATTGTAAAATTCATTATTGTTTCACCTTCACTCCAGTTTATTTTTCTTTGGGAATTTCCTTTTCATTGAAATGTTTGTCTTTTATTTTTTGGTTTATTATTGTGAATGGACTTTTGTAGCATGTTGTTGTGGTTCACGTTTTTTCATTTCTTCCTTTTGTTAATGTTAATTGTTTGGTTTAGTTGTGTAGTAATTTCGATTTCGGCCAGGTTCTTCCTTATTTTTTTTCTTTATTTTCTTATAATTTTCCTTGTTGTGCCACAGGTAAATTTTATTTTTGAAAGAAAAAATTTTTTTTCTAATTTATTAATTTATTAAATTGATGATAATTAATAATATTAAATCCAATATATTAAAATATTTTTCTTTGTAACCTTTTGAGTAGAAACTCCAACTAAATGTTGTGTTTTCATATTGTCTAATAATTATCAAAACTATTGGTAAAACAATAATGCAAACAAAATTGTTGGAAAGTTCTTAATAACTTAATAGTTTATTGCTTTTAATCCCCAAAGAAACTCACAACCCATATATTCTCTGAAAGCTCTCAATTTAATCATTACACTTCTAAATATATATAATAAATATTAATTGAAAATATAAAAATAGGTACAAAAGTAATTACTGTATATTATAGAAAAAAACATATTGATATTACCATTACTCTTCAATATATACAATTGTTTTTTTGTGAATCTCCTTAAAACTTATTAACCAACACTTTGTAAAATATACTTTATCAATTATTCAATAGGTGGGATTGATGCTTATTTGATGTAAAAATGAAAATGCCATGTTAATATAAGTATTTAATAGATTTTTCAAAATTCAATAGTTCTTTGCCTATTACTATATATTACCATATATTTTTGTATCTCACTAAGTACTTGATCAAATTGAGTGATTTTAGATTTAAAAGAATTCTATTTTCAAAAATTATTTATACAGTGCAGGACACCTAATCCCGCAACTTACTGCGCCACGACGACGAATTTTGGGAAAAATTTTCCAATCAAAAATGCAATAAAAATTGTTTTGTCATGTGATATTTCTTAGTCATTCCATAAATAGTAAAATCGGCAATAAGAATAAACATTGGGTTACCTAATATGGATGTGATCATCAACTAAAAATTCAAAAACTTTTATTTTGTTTCAATTTGTTCATTTTTATATATATATAAATCGCGTGTAACGCGACAGTTTTGGGCTTAACATAGTAAACTTGTGCAACTTTGAGGCTTGATCTCTCCATGGTAATGTGACATATCAACAAAATGAAATCGTAGCTTTGTGGAGAAAGGTCTTAGCTTCAAAATCATGTTTTGTTTTTTTGGTGTTACATTTCCATTTCTGGTATACTAAAAGGATATACAAGACCAATAAAAAGTTGTGGGACTAGGTGTCCTGCACTATATATATAAAACCTTGCATTCAGTGTTGAAAATTCGGTGCGGGGAATGCGGGGGTGTAACATTACACACCAATCAACTTTTTAATTTTTGGAGTTAGTTTCTAAATTTGTACTTGTTACACAACGAAATTTCAACACCTTGCATTATTTCAGTGAGATCAATTTAAGATCTAGCGTGTACATAGTTCGTGTAACATCTACGATTAAAAAATCAATCGCAAATGTCTAATTCCCTCTTTTAGTAAACTATCAATATACTCTTGCTTTGCATACTCATCCTCTAACCTTTTTCATTATTTTCCTACCAATCAATTAAATTAATTCAAAGTCAAAAAAAAATTTTTTTTATATATAAATAAGTAAAAAAAACCATGGTTTTTTTTTATCAATCCATTCAACTTTCCTCTCCCTCTTCTCTTCTTTTAATAAAAAATATATTCACAAGTAATTATTTTATACCAAAAAATATGTAAGATTTTATTTTTAAATGTAATTAATTATATATTTACGCATATATTAAACAATATTAACAATATATTTATTAGTTCATGATGAATGTTGACGAGGCAAAAGAATTACAAGAAATTGTTAAACTCTTGACAGAAAAGCCTATAATAGATCATTCAAAAGTGAAAGATATTTATGAGGTAAATATTTTCACCTGAATTTGAAGTTGCTTACAGATATATAAAAATTTATATATATCAATGTTTAGATTGCAAAAAAATTAAGAACGGGACTTCAATTTGCTCACTTTAAAGTAAAGTGGGGTTTACAAAATTGTGATATATCAACATGTGAAAGAATGATAGAACAGAAATTAGAAGATTATAAAAAATATCCAAATAAGAAAAGAATACATCTTCCATGCTATGTTTCTCCTGTACCTCCATCAAAAAATAAATTTCCCGATGAAAAGGCCAAAGCCGTTTTCAAAATACTTGATTCATTAGTAAATCGACCTGGATCATCATCATCTAAAATTAATGATTCAACTGATAACATTAACAACAATAATATCAATGGTAACAATAACAAAAACATTAATACTAATAGACAACACTTAAATCATAATGATGAAATCTCTTCTTCGATAGGTAATCAATCTATTAACTTTATTATTTTATTTATTTATTTTTTCGATATTAACAATAATTTTTTTTTCTTATCATCATCGCATCAAGAATCAACTTCACTATCATCTTTTGATATATCTTTTGAACAAGATTTACATTCATGTTTCCCAATAGAGGTGAATCCTAATTCCATAGAGCTCTATTTAAATTCAATAGAAAGAAATTACGAGGATTATGGATCAGATAGATTTAACAACAATATTAATAACTATATGATTAACGATAGCCATCACTATCAACATCAACGTCGCTACCATCACCATCACCATCACCATCACCATAATAATAATAATAATAATAATAATAATAATCATTATCACTCATGGGCTTTAATGAACTTTGGATCGCCAACGATAGCAAACTCTTCTTTATCATTATCACGTAGAAGAAAAGTAGATTGGGAGGAAGACTTAAATCCTGCCACTAAATACCAAAAGATTCACAAAACAACTTTTGGTTTGTGGAAAGAAAATACTGATGCTTCTTCTTCATCATCATCTTCATCGTCATCAAAGGATTTGATTGAGTGTCCGGGAACTCCACCAAACCAAATTCGATCAATTAATGACGTGAAAACTGCATTTTCATTAAGTGAATATTTGAATATGTCTCCTATGCAGCAGTAATATACATATTTTTAAAAAAATTTTTTTACAAACATTTATTCATTTTTCTTACAATGAAATTTTTTTCAAATGTATAAAACCGAGAAATAAAATGATCAAATAATATCTATATGTAAATGTACTTTTTATTTATTATTGAATATTATCCAAGATTTAAAGTTCTTTTATAAAATAATAATAATTATATATCTTCATTATTATCATTATCTCCGAAAAGAAAATATTTATCTTTATCCCCAAAACAAGTCGTTGTTTATGATGAGGAATCGTTTTCATCATCATCTTTTTCTTCTTCTTGAGCATAATTATCTATTCAATAAACACGGGATAATACTATAATAGTAAATACCTCCACCACCCAAAATTTGTTCTAATGACATGGGACACGAATTATGATTTGTCGCAACATTCAACTAAACAAGTGATTAAATAGAAATTAGCTAATTTATATAATATTTTTATCTTGATTCAATGATAATCCAACACTGATTCCCTGGTATCTGGACCATTTTTAATATTTTCATTTCCTTCATTATCAGATGAATTATTATAACCATGTTTTGTACCATTGCCACCATTATCGTCATCACCTTCTTGTACTACTTCTAAATAATCCTCCATCCATTAATTATCATTATCTTCATTCACTTCCATATCACCAACATCAGCATTGTAATTATACTCTACTTTCTTCAACCATTCCATCATCTCCAGATGATTGTTACATGATGAAATCCAAATTTTTGCAGTTTACTAGTTTTAAAATTATCAATCAAACACGATAACTAGATCCCATCATTTTCTAATAACCATAATAAATTTTTCAATTAGCAGTTGCCAATATTAATATTAAATAATAGTTATAAACATTTTTTAATGGCATTTAAATCATCAAAAGTATTATTATGGCTTGTATGTCCTGTTAATTTATCAGGTCTTCTATCTAAATTTGAGCACAGGCACACACACATTGATTGTTTAAAAGAATTGCTAATAAAGCATTAAGGCTAACCCTTTTTGTTCCTTTTGTTCATTTTAATTCTCGGCAAATTTTATGGTTGAAATCTTTTTCTCAACGCAAATTTCTATACCGACCGATTCTATTTCTTTATTTGCTATGCAATTTACAAGATCCTTGCATGTTTTCATCAAGAATTCTTTTTAAGTTGCGTGATTTTGGAGTCAACGCTTTACTCAATAAATACTCGATACGGAATGACATTTTTGATTCAATGTAATAATATGTATGTCACAGGCGCAAAAAAAATGTGTCGAAATATTTTAGAAGAGTTGTTATTCAAGTATTATTTCAAAGCTTAATTGGTGAAATAAATATCTCTATTATAGATTTATTAAATTCGCTTTGAATCCAGACTATAGAAATTCAAAATTCCAAATCCAGAAAAACAAAAGTAAAAGGACTTGCTGACTTCTTTTATATAAATTAATTGTCGCAATCTCAGACTCCAGTAGTTTCAGACTCCCGATTGGTTTCTAGATTCAATTTGTTTCAAGCTTTATATTTATTTCTAAGAAGTAAAAAACATTAACAATCGCGTCACGTGTCCACCGCGTCAACAAAAGAATTAAAAAAATTTTTTTAAAATTATTTGTATCTCTATATATTTCGCTGTATTTAATATAAGAATAAATACGATTGTTTGAAAAATGGCTCTTTTGTATACCTATACTAATTTAGAAGGCACAGTATATTTTAAAAAAGCTTTTACCTTAGGGGCTACAACTTTTAGGCCACAGTATGGCTCTACAAAATAAAATTGCCAACGCTCATCATCAACTAGAACTTACCAGCTGAACCAAACTAAACTCGAACAAGTAATTTTGAGATAGAATAGTTCAAATCATACAAGCCATCGAATATTTGAACCAATGATTTTGTTCGAACCATCGGACTACTAAATATTCAAACCAACATTTTCAGATTTTCTTGGTTTATTGATTTAGGACAACCAATTCGATTTTTTGTGGAAGAACTTTTCATAAAATTATTTTCTAATAGTATGAACAAAATTCTAGATACCGTACATTGTAGCTTGGCGCGTAATAAAGACTGATTACTTTCGGTTAAAGCTAAAATTTTAGCCTAAAAATTTTCGAGTTTGTTCGTAAAGATAATGATGCATCGCACTTATTGACGATGGTATGTTTAGAAGGCACTGACCGATTTGTTTAATTATAACCAGTATATTTCTTTATAGTAAAAAAAGAAGTATAAATATATAGATACTTAAGAAAATTGTTAAAATTTGCAGGTCATGATCCTCTTTTCTCTTCATCCGTTATGTTCCGCGTACCCTTGATTGTTTTAGAAAATTCATGGTTAATTTTATTTGGAAGACAAGTTTAAAAATAACTTTTATCACACAACAGAACAAGATAAACAAAACAAGTTCGGTGGTTTTGCAATGTTGCAGAAGCCTTGTTTTAATAAAATCTTGAGAATATAATAATTTGTTTCAAATATTCCTTCTAATGCTTAAAATGGAGTTGGAAAAATAGAATTTAAACAAAGGCTGGTATTAAACCATTTGGAATAACCATTTATTTGTTAAAGTCATTTGATATTCCAATGATAAAAACTTGCAAATTGAAATTAAAAAAAAAATTACACCTGATTTATGAATAAAGTAATATAGGTTAGCGAGTAACAACAAAGTAAGATCGAATGTGCAAGTTTTCTGTTGTCATTAAGATATGAATTCTTGTAAGTAATACAAAAAAGGTCAAAGGTGCGGATTTCCTGTTGGTGTTAAAAGGTCGAAGGCGCGAGTGAATTTCTAAAAATGTTTGAGGGCGCAAAGTTTCTACCTTTTTGTTCTGAATTCTATGCGTTGTGCACAGAAATGACAATAAATTTATCCAAAACGCCCACTCCAAAAAATTCACGCGATTTATTTGATATTAATAAGTTGCAGTCTAGATAGAGCCTTGAAAACTTGTGATTATATATTACATTATATTAGTGATATCAGCTGGCTAAGGAATTTTTAACATTACTTAGAATGACTAAAAGAAAAAAATCTACTATTCATTTGCCCCCCTTCCCAAAAACCACAATACTCGTAGCAGAATAAAAGACAATAATAGTAATAGTAAAACAATAATGGCGGTGAATTAAGATATATAATATTATTATAACAGCAATAGTAATAACAGTGAAATAATAGTTGTGGTGAACCATTTGATCATGAATGGGATTTTGAATGGATAAATAATGATAATGTTTTAAATGATATAGAGGTTTCTAATACAGCTAGCTATTGAATCTATTTCATCTGATGTTTTGGATGATGTTAGTTTACATTCCCGTTTAAGTTCAATTTCAACTAATTCAAATAATAATACAATTATTCAGAAATGTAAAAAATAATTTTGGTTGGACATGCAAATATTTTGAAAAATAATAATGATATTTGTTTAGTTGTGGCATTAAATGGATATAATAAGAACAGACAAGAACAATGTGTAAATTTGTTGACAAAAAAGTATTACTCATTTGAAATTTTGCGTAAATATATAAAACAAATAAATTAAAAAATTCCGTTTCTTTATTAAATCACCAAAAAAAATAAAAAAGTATCACGATTAATATATTATTATTATTATTCACTTTTAAATTAATGAATTCTTTTTAAAAATGACAGAAAATAATGGCCTTATGGAAATAGTGACAGTAGAGAATCCAGATAGAATTTCCATTAACAATCCAACTGCAAATGACGCCATAATCAATACACATAATGGATGTCCCATTGATGAAATGAAGTACAGTCCTGATTATAAGTTTTTAGTAACTTTAAGTAAACTTGATCAATCCATTGCTGGATGGACAATTGATCATGTCAAAGAGACTATTCAACAAGATAATCAAGATAATTATTTTGAATATTCTGACTGGAAAGTTCACAAGGATAATTTACATATAGAAGATGTTTCAGATAATAAATATATACTTGTAGAACTTATAGGTTTTGAGTTTAAATTTTACAGTAAGTAAATATAAATGTATTATTATTTATAAGCAATAATGATAATAAATTCACATTAAAGTTAATTTTCTAGGGTTAATTGATTTTTCAAAAGGGAAATATTGTGATGTTACAATTAATGATAAAATGCATAAATTTATAAAAGGGGGTTTCATTACAAATAATGATTTAATAATGCTAGATTATAATTGTTATTTATACACTTTTTCATATTTAAATGATGACAATAATGAAAATATTAAATTATCTCTCAAATCAACATATTACATTTACAATTATCATAATGAATACTATAGAGATTTATTTTTTTTTGTAAATTCTGATTATATTATATTAAAGAGCCATTCATCATTATCAATATGGAATTCAACAACTATGTCACATAAGGATAATTGTTATCTAAAACATAAAAGAAATCATACTAACATAATATTTAATCATGACAAATCAATAATGGCATTGTATTATAAAGACAATTCAAAAATAACAGTTTATTCATTAAAAGATAGCATTACTATTTCTTCATGTAAGTATTGTAATAAAAATTTATCTTTCTTTTATTTGTTTATTTATCAACAACACATTAAATATACTCATTTTTTTTTATTTTACAGTTAAATTGGGAAAAAAGATATCTATTAAAAAATTAGATTTTATTTATATAAAAAGTCAATTGGTATATTTATTAGTGATATTCTATAATAGAAATAAATACAATTGTAAATTATTGGATCTCTATAATTCAATAAATATTATAGATATTACAGATTGTTTTAATGAGCAAATAATATATGAAGCTAAAAAAGATATTATATTTGGACCAATCATATCAAATAATAAAGTAGTTATGGCTATTGACAACCAAATTCACATTAAAAAAATTCTCAACAAAGAAAAATTAGACAATGTTCAACAAGTAAATATAAAAAAGAAGTATTATTTATACATAGGACAAACCTTAAGTGAAATATATGAAAAAATGGATTATAATTATGAAATGCCACCAAAAGAATTTGATATTGAAACAGGAGAAACCATTAAATGGTCAGTCAAGTATGATAATGAGTTTAAAAATATTAATATAAAAGCTCGGAATAATGAAATGGAAGGAGGATTACTAACAATTGCTAGATATGATATCTATTATGCTGAAGAATTTAAATATTGTAAATTACTAAATAATGATGATTTAATTTTATTAACTGATTATTGTACACATATTTTGTCATTTTGCAACAAAAAAATAATTACAAAGTTTATTAAACCAATTGTTTCTCAGGAATTTGAAAATATTAAACTAGCTATAGAAAATAATATTATTGAAGAGTATTTAATTGATTTTAATATGATTGATCATATAATCAGGCAACATCAAATTTTCAGAGAGTCTTATAAAGAAATGATTTTACACATGTTGGATGATTTTTATAATCTTAAATATGGAAAGGAAATTTTAAAATTAGCATTAGATTATAATTACATCATTGTTCCAGAAAAAATATTTGATCGTTGCCTTAATCATTTTTTAAAGGATACTGAATCAAATATCAGTTTATTAAAAATAATTATACCAGAATTACCAAGATTACAAATAAATCACCAAAATTTAGTATCAAAATTCTTTAATCAAACTTCAATGATTAGTCAGCCTAATTATTTTGAGGATAATATTTATGAAACATTTATTTACAAGGACAAAAGCTTTTGGGTTTTTTATTATATTTTTATTAAAAAATATGATATATTTATAGATTTTATTAAAAGCAAACTTAATTTAAATAACACATATGAACCTTGTGTAAAATTGATAATTTCATATCCTGGATTACTCACTTACAATAATGAATATTCATCACGGAAAGAATTATTCTATAAGCCGGATAGTAGTATATTTGTTGAATTAGTTGAAATAGGCAATGAAAAATTATATAAAAATTGGAATGTTAAACAAATCTTGGATCACAAATGGAACACTTTTGGATTTAAATATTATATTGGAATATTGATTTTTTATATAACATTTTTATCAAGCTTTGTTATTGCAACATCTATTTCACCAGATCAATTATCTGATGAAAAAAGAAATTCATTATTAACCACAACAATTTTCCTTGGAATGATTCATCTCACAATAGAAGTTAGACAATTTATCTGGAAGCCATTGAAATATATCAAAGATTTCTGGAATTACTTTGGTATGGTGTTATTTTAT